AGTGCCACGGTCTGGTATGCTTAAAAGTCTCTGAGCGCCATATTCTTCATGATAGAGTGACCGAGATTCTTTCAAAACCCACCGTCTCATCCCAAATCTTCGAACCTCCAATCTTTCCAATCAATCATAAAAAGCAATGATGATACTTTAATGGGCGAGAAATTTTAACTATTTCTTTGTGTAAATATTTTTACCACAAATACCCATAATGAGCATGCTCTTCAACTCATAATAATCTTCTTACCCCGGTTACAGCTAACAACCTTGATTATTTTGGTCAAAAGAGTTTGACTCTTCCTCGTTAATAGGCGTAAAAATTAAACTTTTTACAGGAAATCCCTTGGAGTTCTATTTCTTAAAACAAACCAAACTGAAATTCTCAAGAGGAGTTCATCTGCCATTCTAATTCAAGGTGTATCGATGCCACTTTTTGGAGGCCGATCCGATATTCCCAATATTAAATTGATATCGGCCGATTACCGATTCGATATCATATATAATTTTGTATTCTGTAAAGATACCAATGGTTTTAATTTTAATATACTTTTTATTAGTATAACATCTATAATTTAACTATACCATAATAACTTATGTCATTTAAATATATTATAATGATCAGTTATAGTTTATATTCATTCAATAAAATACTTTTATTGTTAAATCACTTTTAATAATAAGTAATATATTAATTATATACATTTGAAATAAATATTTAAAATAATATTTAACATTAATATATCGAAGATTTCTTTTTAGAAATACCAAAATTTTAAATTTATCAATGGTCAGCCTGCGGCGATAGTAACTGTCAATATTACCAGCTTCACTAAAAACTGATTCGGAAGAGATTATCGCACACTTTTATAAATAGAATGCGCAAAAAAAATAACAATAGAATATTTATTAATTAATTATTAAAAAAATATATATAAAAATGGATTTCGATTTTATTTATAGAAATAAATGATTTTAGATTTAACTTTTTTAAAAAATTTTATAACATTTTATTTTTGTTAATGACGCTATTTTATATCGGATCGGAAATGATATAATATTGGCCGATAACCGATATTTTAAAATGGGTGATATCGGCCCGATCCAAAAAAATATCGGTACATCCCTAATTCTAATATATTTCCTTCTTAATTATATACACTACCGACAATAACTGACTGCTCACCCTACATTTATACTTTTACGAATCCAAACCTTCATTTATTATCAAATACACATATATTATATCTAAGAATAGCCTCATAAGGTAAACTCTCAATTAAATTTAAAATATGTCATATTTATTAGCACTTGATTATTTCGTTTTGTACTATTTTGACTGGATAACAAGTATGGATTTTTTAAAGCCAATTTATTGCCTAAGCAAAAATAAATAGTTCCTAAAGAGTAATTTCTCAATCATCTTTATTTGTGAAGTATAAAATTTGATTTCTTTTAGAACATGGTGAACATATAATTTTAATCTGGCCTTTAAAGGCTACTGTAATATTTTCATTGTGCCTCAAATGCCATCGCAGGTGCCATTGACATATGTTTGTCAAATTATTAAAATTGTTACGCAACCCCGTAACAGTACATCGTTTTTGGTATAGACCCAAATTTACTCGTTAAAATTTAGTGTTTTTGAAATAAATCAACGGAGATCGTATTATAGTGTAAAGATTTAGAAACAATGACATAATTAACGTTGTTCCCATTTTTATAATGGGCCACAAATGTTAATCTGTATGTTTAGTAATTAATTCAAGATTGGTAAGATCAATCGTGACACATTGTTTAAACATTACACATTCAATTCTATTTATTTCTAATAATTCACATAATTGTCTTTTCAAGCCCTATGTATCTATACATTTATAACATATACTAAAATAATATTTTGGTTGAGAAGGATTGCAAACTAACTGTGCTAAGAGATATTTGGGATATTCATTTATTTTACAATAATTGTTGGCTTATCTGATAATATTATGTGTTTAAATGGCAGGTATGATCTTAATTAAAAAATATAGTTTTCTAAATTAAAAAAAAGTTTCTACAAAAAGAAGAATTGTTCCCTCCCAGAAAAACAAATTGTGAAAATTTAGATAATGATCTTTTGATATTGGTATATATTTCTTTCTTTTATATTAGTAGTTTAGAAATATATCACATTTTTATATATAAATTTAATTCCATCTATAATTATTTTGATTTGCATTATTGGCTATGTTTTTTTAATCCAAGCTGAGACTAATTAAATTTTATTATATAATATATTTATAAAATTTAAAGAAAATTCAAAAGAATCGAAAACAATAAGTCCTTCAAAAACAAATCAAAATTTTCAATTGCATATTGGATGAGCATCACAAAAAATTTAAATACCACCCCCCCCCCCCACCCAATCTTAATTAGTCGTCATTTATAAGTTAAATAATAAGTTTAAGGTGATAAATTTATTAAGTTTTTAATTTATAACAAATAATGTAATAAGTAAGAAATAGAAAAGTAATGATTAATTTATACACTTTTGATCCCTATTATTTCAAGAAATAAAAATTTATACTTTTGGGGTAATTTATAACATGTATGTAACTATCATATAAATTTTTATTCGAATAGAAGGGATCGGCTAAAAATCTTATTTTTAATCCATTCTTAGACCTGTCGACCACTATGGTAATCCGCCGTCTGTCATACCAAATCGATAACTTTTCGGCCTGACCTTTTAAATTTTGATAAAATTTTGCATACTGCAGAAACATCATTAAAAAGCATCGAATCCAAATTTTTAGCCCAAGTATTAAATAGCTTCTGAGAGATATCAATTTTTTCAAAATACGTAAAAAATTGAAATAGGTAAAATAATGAAGCTAAAAATAAAAATTATATGTCATTGAGTAACTCTATAAAGGTCTTTTATTGAATATTAAGGATTTTTGTAATATAATAATCTTGCGGTTTTTATGTAAGTTTTAAATTTTGAACCTGAAACTCTAGGTGTTTCGCTTTCCGAATTTCTTTCAATTTAATAAAAAAAATTTAACTTGGGACACATGTGAATTTTAGTTATTATGATTTTAAAAAATAAATGATTTTTTTCCAAAAATATATGGCGCTCCTATAAAAAATAACGCATTTTTAAACATAAATAAATAATAAGATATTCCGGCATTAATAACATCAAATAATTTTAATTTTCGAAAAATTAAATTAATTTTGCAAATATGATAGGAATCACTAAAGATATTACTTATTTTCGAATTTTCATCAAATTAAGTTTTTTGGACGCCTTGTTTTGCAATAAATACGCCCAGTCGTCTTTGATTTAGATTATTATTTTTTGATATGAAAAGGAGATATGGTGTCGCTGCAATTATGCAAAATTAAAAAGGTCGAGCCGAAAAGTTATCGATTTAGTATGGAATTAATCCACGAGGAAGATCTAGTGAAGGTTAAAGTCAGGTCTTTGGTCCAGACGATACACACGAGCCGGACCGAGCCAAGGTTCTCAGAAAAAGACCGGTCCAGGCGGTGATCATCATTTTAAAAATATTTAGGCTTTACCTAATTAAAATTTTATTTGTTTTATCATAAAAATATTTTCTGTTAATAATAACATTTAATTTAAATAAATGCTAATGTCTTTGTTTGTAGAACTGAACTGAAAGGAACTAGAAAGGAGGACTTAATAGTGGTAGACCTTTCCATTTTGTCTATTATAAACTTTTAATATTATTTGGTTTATATGTTTGATATTTGTTTAATGTTATTGAAGAAAATGAGTTTGTGCACGTGGATGATATATTAAAATTAAGAGTAGATTATTTTTATCTAGATTTCCATCAGGAAAGATAAATATTTGATGTTTTATCAGATGTTTATTTAAAAACCTAATAAATAATAGAACAAATATAAATTATTTTAAATAATTGTAGCTGAAGATACATTAAATTTGTGGATTCCACATTAAATTAAGATCTAATAAGGTCATGTGATTAAGAAAAATTTCCTTGAATTGGACCATAATCTTTTCAATCATATTTAAAAATAAATTAGTTGGTTTTATACATTTCTCATTGTTAATTATTTTATAAGTTTAGGTATTAGGAGCAATTTATGACCCTAGCTTTAAATCGATAAATATGTGAATGATTAAAAGGAAAAAAATATTACGAACAATTTATATGAAAAAAAGCTACCTCACGAAACCCTTAAAACATTAAATGGGGAGGTGGCTTCATAACAAAGGGAAGGGGGGGGGAGGCATTTTCACCCGTTTGGGAATATGTCAGTTTTCGTATATATCATTTTAAGCCAATAAAAATTTTCCTCCTATACTGTCACCACCCTCTTCTAAACAAATGAATACAATATGTCACTATATATAATTTAAAAGAAAAATAAGTAAAATTTAATTATTTTTTAAAATAATGTCTATAAATCAATCAGAAAAAACATTTTAATTTTAAAAAAGTGTAAAACCAATTTTTTTTTGAATGTAAAAATTAATTTGGAAGACCCTATCTAATAGTACCTCCCACCGCCATTAACAAAATCCTGGATGCTTCATAATCATGATCTGATTATTTTAAGATATCACTATTAAACATTTATCATCAGAATTTGAAGTAACAAGGCAACTTGAATAGGCTAGAAAAAGAATGTTTTTCATATAAATATAAGAGATGTCCTTTTTTGGAATAAAATTATCCAAAAGATTTGATTTTAACTAAAAAAATTATGTGCTCCAAATTCGATACGCCACAACCAGCTGATCGGATCAAAACACTGCCGTCGATAAGGTTGTTGGCGCACAAGTTTAAGTATGCCATATAATATTTAAAACTTGTAGCAAATAAATTAAGGAAAATGATAAGACGGCAATTGTCAATATTTGGTTATAATCTTTTATTCCTACCTTAAAAAACACGAAATTCTGTGATCCATGTTTGTCTTATAATTGAAAAGTTCAAATCTACGAATGAATATTCAAATCTTACCTATTTTCATTACTAATATCATAACGAGGTTGTGGATCTGGATCTTGATCATTAATGTCATAACTTGCTTTTGGATCCTTAAAACAATTTTTTTCAATAATAGAAATAAAACATATAAGACATATGTATTTTGACCCTATAATATAAAAAAATGGTGAAATCGGACAAATATATAATTTACGTAGTTGCTGGAGATATCGGGATTATCAGTTTCTATACCATCATCTAGAATGGTTATAACAACGCCATATCCGCTGTAACCTAACTGCCATGCCTCTTGCGTATTTAAATCTAGTCCTTTCGCTCTGTTCTGATAAAAATATAATACATTTATAGAAAACACACCAAAATATGATTTAAACAAAATAAAACGACCCAAGGCAATAATAAAAATATTAATAAGATGTCATTATTTATATCTCAGGTTTATAGAAAAGATTTACCAGGTACCATTGTTGCCGATAGAAAGGATCGTTAAAATATGGTAAATGATTATCGCGAGTAATGCTTCTCTTGCCACGCTTTTTTGCCTTTTGTTGTTCTATAAAAACAACTGACGAATCCTTAATTGCCGACAAAATTATAAAAGAAAAATAAATTATATATATAATTTAAATATTTTTTAAAGTAGAGATTATCAAATATATGATTGTTACCTTGTGAAAATTATAGTCTTCGGCAGGAATATCCCAAGATTGTAAAGATTTTGATTTGATAGATGGATTCCTAAATACGTGAAGTCCATTATCAAACTATGAATATAAAAATATATGAATATCTATCAACTGTTTTGTGAAAATATACCGAATGAATATGAGTCAAATTGTGTCGTTCGGCATATCTTTTAGCTATATGATGTTGATTTGCTGATAAATCGCGCAATTCTACTACAAATGTATCGGTGTAATGGGTGTGTTTTTGGTCGTAGCTCTCACTATTAATTCTATCGACCTGGCAAGTCACGTGTGAAGTTGTTATAATCGTTAAATACAAAATCAGCAAAGTTTTCAGACGATTCATTAATTTTAATCGTGTAAATAAAGGAAAATAATTAATCGGGAATTGGTAGAACGGAATACAATTATCACCGGAAATTAATGAGTTTGAGCCTAATTTGCTAAATAGTTTACGTCTTTGGTATGTTAGAATAAAATCCGAATAGATTTGGTGTGCGACATACGTGTAATAAAAATAATTCTTTAATTTGCCTTTAATATATTTACGATATCGATGGTATATAGATAAAGAAACCTCATAATAAGATTTCCGAAAAATTATAGCGCAATAACTTATGTTTTGTATTAAGCTAAAATAAATTAAAATCATATTGCTTATTATGATTATTTTAAAAACAAACGTAAATTTTATATAGGTAATAATTTTTGCATTGAAATATTTGGATAATAATGAATTAGGGTCTATTATAAAGGCAAATAATATTGTAAATATAAGACTTGATATCTGCGACTTAATGTGAAGTATGTATAACCATAGTCCCAGAAATTTTTTGAAACTGGCTAAACTAAGCATACAAAATAATACCAGGGAATAAGGGACTTTCATACGAATGAATACTAAGAAACATTTCAAAATGAGGTCATATAACTCAGAAATCCATATGAAGTCTTCAAGAATATTATTTTGGGAATATAAGTCATGTTTTAATATTCTTTTATCACATCGTCTTAAATCATTTTCGATATTTATATTATAATATGCATTTGTTGTTGATGCTTGGGATAATTTTATTTGGTACATGGTGAAATCGTGTTGATGACTTAAAGTTATTTGATTAAATAAGTGAGGGATAGGGGTGAAGACTGAGCCACGAATTTCATTAAGTTCACACTATATAAGGTGTATTTAGTTGGCATAATTATTTTCGTACTCAATGTATGATGATGATATTGCATTTTGAATATTTCTCAATTAATTTCGATATTTGCATTTAGTCATATAAATATTATTGTATACGCATTGATTTAAATGGGATATGGAGTATTTCACCTGCTTGAGGTAGGATACCATAAAATGTAGTTAATCATTTATCAATATAAAAGATGTTTTTTCTAAATATGAAAAATTATAAAAATAATTAATTTAAAATTGTTTGTAGTTTTATACTTAAACTCTTCAATTTTATAAAAATTAAGAAGAATGACACCAAGGTTAACTAGTAATAATATATTATAAAGGTTACTTATTTTTTAGTTTCATGTTTAAAAAAGAAAGAAACAATATTATTATAATAAAAATAAATTAAATATTTGTAACATTATCATCTCTGTGTTAAATTTTTTTTAAAGTAGGACGAGGATATGGTTTTATTTATAGTAATTGGGAAAATAATCGTACATAAATAAAACCAACTACTAATGACCTTATAATTAGTTAATTATAAAGATATTATGTCGAAATATTATTTAATTTATTAAATTATTGGCTCTTTGTTCGAATCGATATAAGATTATTTTAATACAAGTTAAAAATCGAAATAAATTGACGGAAAAAACCATACAAATGCGATAAAGTAGAACTCTAAAAAAATATTCCTGAACAATAGCTGGGCACTAACCGAATTTAAGGTTAGGCCTATGCCGATTTTGGCCAAGAATTATGACAATTGTTACCCTTCTGAATTATATTATTGAATTTTAAACATATTTAAAATATTAATTATTATTTCATTAAAAAACATTGGAAAAGTTTTATAATGACGAATACGAAATATTTTTATAAAGTGCAATTATTTCTATATTCGAATTTCCACTAAAAGATTTAAATATTTATTTTTACCTAATCCGATTAATAAACATTGGAAAAGTTTTAGAATGACGAATATGACAATGGTTACCTTTCTGATTTAAATTATTAAAAATTTACAATAAAGCAGAGTGTTAGCTAAGGTTATCTCTTAAGCATAACCTTAGCCAATCAAAATCACTTTATGCTTAGTTTTTGCCAAAATAAATCGGCATAGGCTTTGCTATAGGGTTATTCCATAACAAAACAACCAGGGACTACCACCATAAAAATCAATGAAACTTGTCATATTAGTTATTTATGTTGTCAATTTTAAAAAAATCAAAATTTTATAAGCTCAGCCCCAAAGATATACGTCTTCAGAGTCAATAATCGCACGTGATTCAATTGAATCTTGTTTTTATAAAATACTTAAGATATAGTTATAAATTATTTTAATTATTTTATAGCCTTTAAAATTCTACATTGGAAAATTATCAGAAAATAATTTTAAAATTTCTAAATTTTCTTACTTCCGGTAAGAATAAAAAATTAGCATTATTGAGAAGGAATTTAGGGTTGATATTAGCTAGGAAAGTTTATTACCTTCATATTTCACTGTTTAAATTAGTTACTTTTGCTTTTTTAAATTTTATTAAAATTTTTATAATATAGATTGCTATATTTAAAAATTATTATAATATATTTAATAAAAATATGTATTGTATTGGTATTAAAATAAAAAATTCCACTGAGTAAAACAAATATGATGTCGGGCGATAAGTAGTGAAGGTCACGGTCTGATCTTTGGTCCGGACTGGACCGATACCTTCGGACCTGACAGGACCACAGTTCTTAAGAAAAAGATCGATCCAGACCGTGGTCCTAAATAAAAAACATATTTTTTAACCTAATTTGATTTGTTTTATTATTTTATTAAATATAAGAGTATTATATAAACAAAAATTTATCCAATGGTATTGAAGAAAATGATTTTATGCTTGTGGTAGGCATATTAAAATTAAGAGTAGATTTTATTTTTTGAGATATTTTCATTTTCATTACTAGAAGTCTATATTTTATGTTTTATCAGATGTCTGCTTAAGGTACCTAATTATTTTATTAAGAATAAGGTTAAGTAATTTTTACAATAAATTATACAGATAGTTTCTTAAGAAAAAATAGAACTATAAAATAACCATAATATTTTAATAATATTACTGCATATTTTGATTAATTTATTGCTTAAAAAATTATAAACAATTATTTTGTTACTAGTTGCTGACGATACATTAAATTTGGTACTGCAAGTGAACACATACTCTATGTTTTTTAATGGGACTATAAGCAAAATGTTTCTTGGACAAACTTATAGTTTTCATATTGTAAAATAAAAATTAACAAAATCTAAAATAATTCCTCTAGAAAAATATCATAAAATAAAATATACAAAAAAATTAAATTAATTGAATAGTAAAGCAAACTTTACAATAATAAAAGACCGGTCCGGACCACGGTCTGGACCGTAAAAAATAAAAAGACCGGCCCGGACCACGGTCCTCAAAAAAGATCGGTTTGACAATCGGTCTGGTCCGATCCCGGTCTAAGACTGATAGGACCGGACCGTTGACCTTCACTAGCGATAAGTAAGCAAGCGCCCTATACAGTAGAGATCTGCAAAGTTAGGCCCGGCCCGCCTAATTCTATTTTAAATAATTGGGTTCGGGCCTAGCCTAATATTTTTCGGGTCGCGTCAGGTCGGACCTTGAATTTTTTTTTAAATATATCTAAATTTATCAAATTTATATTAAATTTTTTATGTAAAATAAAAATATTTTATTTTATTTATTGAAACTAAACGACATATAACATATGTCTTTTATTTTAAAAAACTTTGGGCCGGGACGGGCTTGAAAAATTAGGCCCGATGCAGATCACTACTATACAGATATGATTGTTATTAGAACGCTATATGGTAAAATAAACATATTTTAAAATTTTATATACAAATTATAATTAAAAGAATACTTTTTGTTTTTATCATATTCCATTTTATGCTTAAAAATTTCCAGAGACTATAATTTCTAAGTACGTCCTGCCGCTGTTATGGACTCTACAATCGTTTTTACAGTGTTGCGCAGAGCATAATTTTAAATTTATATGCAAATAAAATTATTTGAGTTGCAAAAAATTGCTGCAATAACATATTTATATTTTCTTATCAATTTTTACTTTTTACAAGTTAAATAATTTTATTTATAAACGAAAGTTTTCATTAAATCTGCAAAACACTGTAATTGATTAATGGGCATCTATTTCTTTTCCTCAATTGCGGGGTAAAAGAAGGATGGTGATAGCCCATGGGAATCTAAAAACGAAATATACATCTAGGGATGTACAGATATTTTCTATCGGATCAGATCGGGCCGATATTTCAGGTTATCGGCCAATATTATAAAATTTGCGGATCCGATATAAAATGGCGTCTAACAAAAATAAAGTTATAAAATTTTTTTTAAAAGTTATATCTAAAAATCATTTATTTTTATAAATAAAATGGAAATCCATATTTTTTTAATAATAATAATTAATTAATAAACATTTTGCCATATTGTTATTTTTTTGCGCATTCTGTTTATAAAAGTGTGCGATAATCTCTTCAGAATCTGTGAAGATGGTGATATTGACAGTTACGATCGCTGAAGGCTGATTTCTGATAAATTGGAAATTTGGCATTTCTAAAAAGAAATCTTCGATATATTAATGTTAAAAATTATTATAAATATTTATTTCAAATTCCATAATATATTTATTACTTATTGTGTATATAGATTAATGTTATTACTAAGTGATTTAACAATAAAAATATTTTATATACTTTTAGAATTGCAATTGAATTGAATATAAACTATAATTGATCATAATATATTTAAATGACATAATGGTATAATTAAATTATAGATGTTATACTAATAAAAAGTATATTACAAATTAAAACCATTTATATCCTTACAGAATTCAAAATTAGCTATGATATCAGATCAGTAATCGGCCTATATCAATTTAATATCGAGAATATCGGATCGGCCTCCAAAAAGTGATACATCTGTACATTATTATATATATCCCTCGGTAATTTCATTCTTTTTTATTAATGTAGTCTGCTAACCGCCAAAATTGGCATAAATACATGCGATCGGTCTTTCATTTAGGACCACAGTCTGACCGGCTTTTTTATACATATGTTTATGACGATTTTTGGTAATTAGCCAAAATACTAAAAAAGAATAAAATTACTTAGGAGATAGATATTTCTTTTCTACATCCCCATGGACCATCACATCCTTCTTTTATCCCACAAGTGGCATCAAATAATAACGATAGTAGATCCACAACAATGACAGGATAACCTATAAATGATGGCCTCAGAAAATTCTATAATAAGCGTAAAAAATATGATAAAGATAAGATTGTTTTTTATAATAGTTTAATATCAATTTTTAAAATTTGTTTATTTTACAATAGACGAATCTATCTGTATGGGCTGCTTGATTACATATCGCCCCAGGACATCATATTGGTTATACTCAATGGATTATTTTATTTTGATATCAATATAATGCATATTAAATAAATATATTATATTAAAATAATCTTTAAATATAACGCCATCTTAATTATATTATTTATTTATAAAACAAAAATGGCTATAGATTTTTTTGATTAAACAGTTAGGTAATAAACATTCTTAGAATATATCAACGCCCAAAAAATTCTCAAGAATGTTAGTATTTTATTTTTACTGGAAATAAAAAAAACTTGAAAATTATTTTGATATTTTCCAATGTAGAATTTAAAGGACTATAAAATGATATATAAATATAAACTGTAAAATATCTGAAGTATTTTTTTTAAAAAAAAATAAAATTTAATGAAATCACGCATTAAGCGAATTTCGGCTTTGAAGACACATACCTTTGAATCTGATTGAGCTAGCATTCTAAAATTTTGATTTTACTAAAATATACAGCAAAGATAACTATTATGTCAAGTAGGGTGTACCGATACCACTTTTTGGAAGCCAATCCGATATTCCCGATAATAAATTGATATCGGCTGATTACCGATCCGATATCATATATAATTTAGTATTCTGTATAGATACCAATGGTTTTAATTTTTAATATACTTTTTATTAGTATAACAACTATAATTTAACTATATCATAACTTAGGTCATTTAAATATATTATAATGATCAGTTATAGTTTATATTCAATTCAATTCTATAAGTATATAAAATATTTTTATTGTTAAATCACTTTTAT